CGTGTGACAGTTTTGTAAGGGTTATTAGGATCATTTGGGCAACCTGGTGTAGTGGAGGGTTTCCCTGCCCACAGCATGGGGGTTGGAACTAGATGATCTTTGAGGTCCCTTCCAACCCAAACCATTCTATGGTTCTATCATAGCAGAACTCTGTATCTGAAAGTGTTTAGCATACGTATTGGAAAGGGCTCCTGCAAGTGTACCGCGTGTATCATCTTTACCTTGGATAATCTTTTGATTTTAATTGCTATTTGAACTAGCTGTTGCAAAACAGAATTTTATTGCGAAGTTATGTTTTGTGTGTCTTCAGTGACGGAAACTGTGCAGACAGGCGTGTTGTGAGATGTAAGTAGCAATAGGCATTATTGATACAGAAAACCCTTATCATTTTAATTTCTGGATTTCTACATGAGTTTTAGAATTGTCCTTGGTTTTATTTTTATTCAGAACCTCAATTCTGAATTTTCAGTTTCCATTCTATTGAAAATAGCGTGTATATTCTTATGATGAAATCAGAGTTAGAACTTCTGCCTAGCATACACCAAAATCATCACTCTCACTCAAAAAGAAAAGAAGTTATTTCTTAGCTGTAGAAAGCATTACTTATTGGCACATTTTAGTATGGTAACTGATCATTTTAAAATATGAATTTATATTGTGCAAATACATATTTGTTAGAAAATTATAAACACTTCACACAAATCTCAATGTAAACTAAGTGAGCTCTCTTAAAGGTACCTTATAAACCAAACTGCTTAATGGAATGGTGAGGGAGATAAAAAAATGTATATATTCTTTTCACCTTCTGTATGGACTGCATTATTACCGGAGTATGAGCCAGGGCAGAGCGTCCACATTCAGTTGTTCACCAGGAGAGAAAATAACTGAAGAGATGCACGTTGAGTGTCAGAGAGAAGAAGTTTTATAGTAACATTTCAGCCCTCTTTCAGCTAGAGCAAAACCTATTCACTTAGCTGGACTAGGATTTCAGCAGTAACAAGTAGGTCTTATAGATTATGCTATAGCAACTGTAGTGGGAGTCACCTGACCTGCAAAGGTTGGTAAATCACCTCACCTGGTTTTGCATTGGAAGGTAGAACCTGTTGGATTTGAACGTGTCAGATGTTATCCTGCGCTGAGTCCTGACTTTGGTACATACAGCTGAAATGAGGCAGTACTAATTAGATAAATAAGTCTTGAATTTTAACACGGTGCTGACACAAACGTAAGGCAAACAACCAGAAATATGTGAAAACAACTTCAAAGCAGAATTGAAACAATGTAAGTAGGCAACAAGAGCATTGATATTACTGAGCCCAAAGCAATACTTAATTAGCTGCTTTATTTTTTCCTCGGGCTCTATTTCAAAATAAATTCAGGCTTCAGTAAGAACTTTAAATGAACCATTGATTTACTTCTCTGGTAAGGAAGTAAATTTCCTTGAGGAAAAGGGAGACTTAATTTAAAGACAGCAATTTAACACAGATGAAATATGGCCTTTCTATGTGGAAAAAGAACATAGTCGGATACAGTGCAACAGTTAGGGTTAGAATGTAGTTTTCTGGGAGGAGGTTGATACCACCGTGGTTTCCTGCTCCCAGCTGTGCTCTGCTGAGCTGTGCAGCAGAAACTGGTGCGTCCCTGGCCCTGGGCAGGTTGGACTCACTTATGCACTTCTTCAGCCTCTGTTGGGCTCCATGGGCTTGGCACAGGTGGAAACCAGAGCCACTTTGGGCCTATTCTCAATAGTACTTGCCTTCAGAAATGGCAAGAGGACTATAAGCCTACAGCTGCATCTAACTAACCATCCACATGTATTTTATACAGTGATTGCAGTTTGGAAGGATGTATATTCATGCAGACATTAACGGTTACATTTCTGATTTCTGCATGGAGATATTATTTCTTAGCTCTGTGCTCTAAGTACAAATAAACGAGTAGTCTTCTTCATGCTTTGTATATATGTGTGATTTGCATTTCCTGTGCTTTGCACAGTTGAATACTTGGCATTTCTGTCTCAAACATAAAAGTGTAAGTAATGGTGTTTTGAATTCTGTGGATTGAATACAATAAGCTGTTATCAAAAGCCCATTTGGAGAAGTGCAATTTTCTGATTTTAGAAGCCAGGAAAACCCAATTCTGGCCCCACTGCAGTGACAAATGTGCACTTAGCTCCGTGTACTTTCTGTGGGAGTTAAATAGCATAATAACCTTACAATTATGATCTTTGAAGATGTTCTGCATTAAGCATTTAGAACGGTGGAAGGAAACATTAATTCATAGAGGGGCGTATGTCTCTCCTTATGCATCCCCATGGATGAAGAGCTTATTTGTGTCAGGAAGCTTTCCAAAGGATGGAATTATGATGTGAACTGAGGTTCCTTCCAAAAGCTGCAATACTGGCAGAATTGAGCCCAGCTGGATGCTGGTGACTTCCCTCTAGTTTTCTAGAAGTTTTCTTGTTTGCTTGTTGCACATTATATACTCCAGAATTGCTTTGTATTATGAATAGTGAAAGCACTGTAAATCTAGGGAATATTTTAAAAATTGATGTACTACAGCAAGTAGTTGGCCAGCTAAGTGAGGAGAAGTGGGAAATGAAATCTGTCACTTTTCAGTCATCTGTTAAATTCAGCGATGGAAAACCATCACTCTGTGTTGGTAATTGGTGGCCTGCGTAAAATGAATCTCACTCTCTTACTCAGGATCTCACTCCACGGACACTTCATGAGAAAACAATTAAATAAAAATCTGGTCCCTCTTGTTGCAGACGGTTTGAACAGTGAGGTCAGGGGCTACAGACAGGAGTGCAAACAGTGCCCTTGCTGCACAAGGTAGTCTCTCAGGCT